GCTCTTCCGATCTTAAAAAGGGGATCCCCTTTTTATCCTGGAAAAATGGGAATAAAAACCGGGATTAGGGCTGGGAATGGGAGGCAGGGATCCCCTTTTTATCCTGGAAAAATGGGAATAAAAACCGGGATTAGGGCTGGGAATGAAGGGCAGGGATCCCCTTTTTATCCTGGAAAAATGGGGATAAAAACCGGGATTAGGGCTGGGAATGGGAGGCAGGGATCCCCTTTTTATCCTGGAAAAATGGGAATAAAAACCAGGATTAGGGCTGGGAATGGGAGGCAGGGATCCCTCCTCTTATCCTGGGAAATTGGGAATAAAATCCCGGATTAGGGCTGGGAATGAAGGGCAGGGATTTTTCCGGATGCCAGGAAGGGGAGGGAGGGATCTGGGGGAATCCGGGATGGAATTCCCACCTCTCCTGCGGCTGGCGCCCCTCCCCTGGCGCGCCCTCCTTGGCCAGCAGGTCCAGGCGCTGGTTGATCTTGGCGATGATGGAGTCGGGGTTGGAGCCGGAAACTTCCGCCCCAAAGGCCGAGCCCGAGGAGCCCAATCCTGAGGAGCCCAGTCCTGAGGATCCCAGTCCTGATGATCCCAATCCTGAAGATCCCAATCCCGAAGATCCCAGTCCTGATGATCCCAGTCCCGAAGATCCCAGTCCTGATGATCCCAGTCCCGAAGATCCCAATCCCGAGGATCCCAATCCCGAGGATCCCAATCCTGAAGATCCTAATCCCGAGGATCCCAATCCTGAGGAGCCCAGTCCTGAAGATCCCAATCCCGAGGATCCCAGTCCCAAGGCTGATCCCGAGGATCCGAAGGCGCTCCCGGATCCCGATCCATAGGCAGATCCTGCAGCTCCCGATCCATAGGCGGCTCCTGAGGCTCCCAATCCTGAGGCTCCCAATCCTGAGGATCCCAGTCCTGCTGATCCCAATCCTGAGGCTCCCAGTCCTGACGATCCCAATCCTGACGATCCCAATCCCGATGATCCAAATCCCGAGGATCCAAATCCTGAAGATCCCAGTCCCGAGGATCCCAGTCCCGAGGATCCCAGTCCCGAGGATCCCAGTCCCGAGGATCCCAGTCCCAAGGCCGATCCGGCGGATCCGTAGGCGGCTCCCGAGGATCCGAAGGCGCTCCCGGATCCCGATCCGTAGGCGGATCCCGCAGCTCCTGATCCGTAGGCGGCTCCCGAGGATCCCAATCCCGAGGATCCCAATCCCGAGGATCCCTCGGAGGATCCCAGCCCCAGCTCCGGAGCCTTGGGAGTCTCCCAGGATCCGTAGGCGGCTCCGGGCGGCGCCGAGGCCGAGCCCGCGTAGAACTCGTAGCTCTCATAGCCTGGAGGGGGTAATTCGTTAATTGGTTAATTAATGAGCTGCTTAATTAGGGATGGAAAGAACCCAGGGGGGGATCCCGGCGGGAAAAATCCCGGGATGGTTCCCAGGGAAAAAATTCCCAGGGAATTTGGGGGGTGTGGAACTCGTAGCCTCTGTAGGCTGGGAATGAAAGGGTTAATTAGGCATTGATTAATTAGCTAAGGGAAATTAGCCATTGGTTAATTAATTAAGGGGGAATTAGTGGGGGAATGAAGGAATTCCGGGGTGGGGATCCTGGCGGGAAAAATCCCGGGATGGTTCCCAGGGGAAAAAATTCCCAGGGAAAAAAATTCCCAGGGAAAAAATTCCCAGGGAATTCGGGGGGGGTGGATCAAACTCGCAGCCCCCGGGGTCATTAATTAATTAATGAGCCGCTTAATTAGGAGGGAATGAAAGAATTCCAGGGGAAAAAACGGGAAAAAGGAGAGGAAAAAGGAGGAAAAAGGGTAAAAAAATGGGAAAAGGGAGGAGCAGGAAATCAGGGAATTTGGGAAGAGGCCGCGGAGCGTTCCCGGATTCCGGAGGATCCCGCGCTGCCCCCGCTCCCACCTTGCCAGCTCGGCGCGCTCGTGCCGTAGGAACCTGGGGAAAACAGGGAGAACGGGAATTTTCCCAGGGAAAACGGGAACTTTCCCAGGGAAAACGGGAACTTTCCCAGGGAAAGCTGCTGGAATTCTGGGGGAAAGGCTCGGGAATCAGAGGGATTTGTGGGGAAAGGGAGAAATTTTGGGAAGAGCAGGGAGGGAAGGGGCTGGGATTTGTTGGGAATTGCAGTGGGGTTTGCAGGAAAAAGCAGGAGAAGAGGGAAAAGGGGATTTGGGGGTGGATGCAGAGATTCTGGGAGGGGAAAAAGGGAGAAAAAGGGGGAAA